ACGCAGTTAAAGACGTAATTAACAACGTAATTTCCAGGTAAGTACGTAGAGAAAACCATGTAATTGTGAATCAGCGATGAAGATTAAATGTGTCCCGTTTGGTGCCACCGCTTTTATAACTTTTCTTTATTTATTAAAATTGTACTTTTTCCCCATCATTTTAATTATTATAGAAATCTTAATGTACATTCAGTTTATAGAAATATAGGTACTTACATTTAAATGGCAAAGTTCAATGAAGGACGAACACTTTAAACTTTTGTTTAACACTTTTATATTAAAAATAAATTTTTTTAGAATTTATCAACTAATATAGTAATAATCTTTATTACACTTAAAGTATAAAAAATTTGACTTCATTCAAATTTTAAAGATATTATCAATCGCTTAGTGGACTCCTTGGCGATAAAACTTGAATTGTTATAATCCTTCAAGTTGGTCTAACATTCATAAAAGCACGATTGGTCAAATATTTTAAGGTATTAAACTAAAAGTGCTAAATTGAGTTTTATCTTAATGCTTGTAAATAACTTGATTGAGGAAATTAAGCTTCAAAAATGTTTATTGAATGAAGTAGCTGCATTCGTTATCGATACTATAGTGGAATTCGTAAAAATTAAAAATCTATAACTTATAATCTTTTTCAAACCGTTAATGTCCAATATATTCATAATATTCATTACTTGATGTGTCCTCGAAGATTACTTGTTTAAGTGGCACCGGTGGAAAAGAATAAAGAATAATGCTGGTAATGTCATATTTGAAAGGATCAGAATGTTTTCACCCATTAGATATTGTATGGGTAAAGGATTCTCATTTAGAATTCTCTGAATAAGGAAAATGCATAAAACCTCAAAATTTTTTGAACCCCATCATTGTGTACAAGCAGATCTCTGGTGTACAAAATCATAAAACTTGTTCTGAAATGATCCAAATGCTCTTAAAATACTTCTGATACAACTCCAATGAAAGCATATGATAATAACATATGAGCCAACGTGCTTCAACAATCTCATTGGCTCATAACCGTTGTAATAAATATAAATTACGCGAAGCCTCTGTTGGAGAAGAGTCTAATAATATCGGAACAACAAAAAAAATGCTAAATTCTAAAGTTACTTTCCACCACGAGTGTCATAGATGATGAAATATAGAAGCAAGAAATAATTCTGGATTATTTATATATGTGATACTTGTAGAATTGTAAAATTGGAGTTTAATTTTGGAGCGACGAAACTGGCATATTAGCACTATTTTGGTTTTTGCAGTAATGAATTACGAAAACACAAAGTCCTCACAGGTTTTTTGTGAAAGATGCAAAACTATTTCTTCAATTTCAACAAGACTAAGCAAATGGTGAAAGTAATAGAAATTACAGTTTTAAGATCCGTATTACATGTTACATTACGAGGTATACAAACCAATACCTCAATTAGAGGAAGATGTTACAAATAGGATGTAGTTAAATGGACAAAAACCAGAAAAAAGAAGTGGAAGGAACATGTAGAAAGAATGAGTAAAAAGAGAATGGCAAGAATTTGAAGAACAAGGATGACCTCCCAAAAGATGGGCTCAGAGTTGAGAAAACCCAAAACATGAGGCTTGACAAACATTGAATTATCCCTAGTCGAAAGTAGAAGAAAACGAGTTCTACTTTTGGGAATTAATTCCAATAACAAACATAAACTTGTTTACGCTAATATTGCGTCTGTCACAAAGCCAATTCTTCATACAAAAATCGTACCACATTCTGTTTGTCCACGTATGTCATGTAATGAAAATATAGAGTAACTCCAGAAGTAGAACATCTCCATGGAGGAAGATAACACACTACATTTAATTAGCCAGAGAGATTTTCAGTTGTCTATATACATTATTGTCCTGATATAGATTTCAACGCTAGAGATCAAGAGTATGCCCCAAACGGATTTCGATTATTCTTCGATTAGTTCAAATAACTTAAAAGCAGTATTGCTCCACAATATCAATTCTTTTTGCTTGAAAACTTCCATCAAGATTTGAAGATTTTGAAGATAGACATGGAAGTACGTTAGAAGATTATTGTTGTTCTATTACAACAGAAAATAATCCACCAAAAAGTAAAGTAAGTTTCAAACCTCAGTGCCTTAAAATCGATAAGAAATTTAAGTATTCAGCTAAGGTATATAAACTAGTGTTATTGGTCCGTATATTTTTGAAGACATATTAACTGAAAATTGTTATCTTCACTTTCTGCAGAACGTTTTTTAATAATATGTTTTTGGAAATTATCCTTGTAGATATATCGTATGCTTAACGTTTAAACATCGGCACATAATCAGCTAACTGTACCAAATCATTTGAGTGCATTAGCGAATTTACGCATCAAGTTTTTGCCAATACTGTGTTCTTCTAGAAATTGATCGATTTTAATTATTGATGTCTCAGTGAATAAGTTTTGAATATAAATGCTGTAAGCAAGAAATGAGAAAATGCAATATCTGTTTAAAATTTTTTTCTTAAAAAACTAAAAGTCATTCAAAAACGGTTGTTTGCATTAAAAAGCTTAGATCTTCTTGCAACAATTCTCAAATTTCTGCAAATATAACATAAAAAGGCTAAAATAAATTTCTTGACTTTACAGATTAAAAAGGCCTTTTTCATTGTAAAACTAACAATTTTATTTAGACATGCTGATAATTTATTAACCGGATTTATTACGATTTTTTAAAGATAATACAAAAAGTTGTATGAAGAAATGTTAAAAATCAGCGTTCTATTTAGATTTTTTTCTGAAAAAATAAAGTTCATTTTCAAAATATTAAAAAGCTAAGACCTTTTTGTACGATTTATCAAAATTGTAAATCGATATCTTATGAAATTATTTCATAAAGATTCTTTAAAAACGAACGATCATTGATATAACAAAAAAAATAAACAAATTGGTTGACTTTAAAGACACAAAGGGATTTTGTAAAGCGGCTTTTTTCATCGTAAAGCTTACGATTTTATTTAGAAATGCTACTATTTTTACAAAGATTTAGTAAAACCCGAATTTATTATGATTTTTTTAAGATAATACGATAAGTATTGTTTAAAAATTTTACTAAAAGTTATTTTCAAAGACGACTTTTTCCACTAAAAAGCTGAGGCCTTATGATATAATTTCTTTGAATTGAAAACCAATATCTTAAGAAATTATTTTTTTGACTGAATTAAAAGCTAATATCTCAAAAGCTTAAAAATATTTTGAAATCCCTCTTAAGTTTATGATTTTATTTAAAAATGTTGCAAAAACTACAACGATTTATTCAAATCCAGATTTTTTACGATTTTTTTAATACAATACAAAAAGTTGTATTCAAAACATCGCAACAACGAAGTTTATAGAAAATAAGAAATTATTTATGGCACAATAACCCTTCATTAAATGCGCTTTAAATCGCTTGTTATGTAACCATTATAATTAAAGTCGTTCTTGTGATATGACTTTTTAATTTTTACATTTTAACGTTTTTTTTTTTTTCACTTAGAGATTTCTTGCTCGAAGCCAATTATACTACTCTACCTCTAAACCAATTTGGGTTTCGCAAACACTTTACCGGCGACATGTTCCAAGTAACGAAAATGATATGACCGCATCAGTTTTGCCGGATTATCCTGGGCTTTTGCCGCCGTCAATCATTCCTTGTTAAGTTGTTCTAGTTAACTTGTCGTTTCTAGTTGGCTCTTTGATCTCAAATTATCTTAGTAATAAAATCAAAACATTTAAAATAAACAAGGATTTATGTGGTTCTATGACGATTTCGACGCGTCTCACTTATCAATATTTTAATTTTCTTTTTATAATAAATTATATAGATTATAAATGTTGTAGAGTTAAAAAATTTGAAAGATATGGTGTGAAATTTTGCTGAATTTGATGACTTTATTTGTCAGTGGAGGTTTCTGCCCATCATAATTTAAATGTGAGCGGTAGCAAGTCAGCATTGATGTATAATATACATACTCATCATTGTGGTGTTGAGGTTGATAGTCAACGAGTTAATGTCGGATGTAGTTTTCGCAATATGACACTGCATTTCGATTCAAGCAATAGATTTAATTCCCATCAAATTTCTAAGTATTCTGCATAAAAATACTTTGTTCTTCTCGTCCATTTAAATACTTTTTGTTCTGCGAGAAATCAGCTTTTAAAATTTGGAATTGCACAAAGAAGCACTTAAAGTATTGTATAAAGATTTTTCAACTTAGAGAGATAAAACAATTTTGAAGCAATACTAGTGTCATAATGGATGAAAATTACCTTTTGATGTATAATATCTTCAAATAACGAAAACACTTTTGCGAGTTTAACTCAAAAATTGAGCCAAATTAAGTTTTTGTATAAGGTAATAACAAACATCGAAACTATAAAAAATTAATTTTTTTTATTTTATTTTAACACATACTTTAAACACAATGATTCAAAGATTTCATGTTTTTAAAAGAACCAATATAGATTATTTTCGGATATTAATTAATTTACGATCATTTTATCTCGAGAATTTAAATCGTATAACTCAAAATTTGTGTCACTTATATATTTTGGTGGAGGCACCACACTCCGTACACACAAAAAATCGTACTTTACACCACATTTGCAATACTTAACACCCTTATTTTTATTTTTTTGTGCAACTCGATTAATTTAGTTTTTGGTAATTAGATTTTTGGGTGGATTTGGTATCGAAAAAGGGTTGAGAAAAGCTCGGATTCCGTGTAACCGTAGTCGCGACCCGGGGTTGACTGAGTGCAGAAAAGCGCGAAAAAGCTCGCGCAAGACTTTGACGCAAAAATCATTATCATAACTTTTTCTTATTAAGCGTGAGCGAAGGAGCCGGGAAAAGCGCGCTCGCGGAGCCGCCCATTTCCACCCCACCTCGTTAATTAAAAACATCTCTCCAAGATCACGTGGTCCGACGCAGAACTTTGTTCAAAACCAAAACAAAAAAAAATATAATTCAAAATTTAATTCTTACCTTGAGCTATTCTGACAGCGGGCATTTTAATTCTCATTTTGGCGATGATTTTCTTCGGGTTGTACTCCCTACTTCGTTTTAATCACTTAACCACGTTTTAAAAGAACAAAACTTAAAAAACATAATAACAACTATTTGTCTGTTTATTCATCTATTTATTTTTTGTTGTAACCGATGAGTTTTTTAACTTTTTTCCTTCACCATTTTTCACTTTAAATCACACAGTCTTCATAACTTTTCCTTTTTTTAAATGTTTATTTGAATGAAATTTTTATTTTAAGCCGAATTAACCAAGAAACCCAAAAAGAAAATCACTCGAAGATAAAATCCAAAAATAAATATAAAAATCCAAAACAAAATTGAAAAAGAAAAACGTCCTTTTTGATCACTACTTTTTTGATTCTCGACGAATTGCTTCTTTCTTGTTGGTAAAACTTCTTCGTCGGTCACTTTAAAAATTTTTCTCCCTCTACATACATGCTGTTGTCGTTGGATCAAATGATGTATATAGTATGTAGTGTTGGTGTGCTCCTGGACCACCGATGCTGAGTGGCCAATGGTCCGAGCGCGTGTGTCAGAACGGCCAAGCAGGATACACACGTCCGTCGGGCGGTCGGCAGCCGTCGACGATGTTCGGCGTCTCTCGGAAAGGCCACTCACTAGCCACCGGCCGTATTCACCCCGTAGGAAGGGATGATGCTGCGCAACCCCCACTATACCCCACCAAACAGGACAACCACTGCGATCCATCCGGATGCGGGATGCGTGTGTACTTCCTTTATATCTTACCAACTCTCTTACATAGGTATTATACATTGCACCTTTTTCTCTTTTCGCACTTATATAATATCACTTCAATTAAAAAATTTTTTTTCATAAACAATTTTGAACAATTGTTGCTATTCTATAAGTACACCAATCTTGATGTCATAGTTTTTTTAGAGTTATCCAATATTACGTAATGTTGATTTAACCAAAACTTAATTTCCATGCTCATTATAGATAGACTAGATACACTAAAAATGTTAAAATTTCAAAGTAGGATGATTTTTCTTAATAAAATCAACTATAAAAGAAGTACTAAAACTGATGAAGCAAGACATTATGAATAAAGAATATTCCTAAGGCATCAAGAAAACATACCCATAGATAATTCATATGTACCTGTTACTAGTTTCTAGTGATATAACATAAATCACAAAATGCCTAAATTTGACGATTTCTCTTAATAAAATCCACTATAACATAACTACTAAAGCTGATGGAAAAAGACATTATGAACAAAAATATTCTTAATACATAAAGAAATCATGGACCGCACTTATTTCACATTTATCTATCACCAGTTTCTAGTGATATAGCATAAATCAAAAAATTTCTAAATTGGACGATTTTCCTTAATAAAATTAACTATAACGCAAATACAAAAACTGATGGAAAAAGACGTTATGAATAAAAATATTCATAATGCATAAAGAAACCTTAATGCATACTTATTTCATATTTATCTATCACCAATTTCTAGTGATTTAGCATAAATCAAAAAATGTCTAAATTGTACGTTTTGTCTTAATAAATTAACTATAACCTAAGTACTAAAACCGGTAGAGAAAGACGTTATGAAGAAAAAAATATTCCTAATGCATTAAGAAATCATAATCTATACTTATTTCTATTTATCTAGTGATGTGGCATAAATCACAAAATGTCTAAATTCGACGATTTCTCTTAATAAAATTAACTATAACATAAGCACTAAAACTGCTGGAGAAAGACGTTATGAATAAAAAATATTCCTAATGCATTAAAAAAGCATAACCCATACATATTTCATATTTACCAGTTACCAGTTTCTAGTGATATAGCACAAATCACAAAATGTCAAAATTGGACGTTTCTTCTTAATAAAATCAACTATAATATAAGTACTAAAACAGATGGAGGAAGACGTTATTAATAAAAAATATTTATAATACATCAAAAAATCATAATCCACACTTAATTCATATTTATCTATCATCAGTTTCTAGTGATACAGCATAAATCGCAAGATGTAAAAATTGGACGATTTCTCTTTACAAAATCAACTATAACGTAACTACTAAAACTAACAAAGAAAAATGTTATGAATAAAAATATTCATAATGCATAAAGAAATCATAATCCATACTTATTTTATATTGATCTATCACCAGCTTCTAGTGATATAGCATAAATCATAAAATGTTAAAATTGAACGATTTTTCTTTATAAAATTAACTATAACGTAAATTCTAAAACGGATGTAGAAAGGCATTATGAATAAAAATATTCATAATGCATAAAGAAATCATAATCCATACATATTTTATATTTATCTATCACCAACTTCTAGTGATATAGCATAAATCATAAAATGTTAAAATTGAACGATTTTTCTTAATAAAATTAACTATAACGTAAGTTCTAAAACGGATGTAGAAAGGCATTATGAATAAAAATATTCATAATGCATAAAGAAATCATAATCCATACTTATTTTATATTTATCTATCACCAGCTTCTAGTGATATAGCATAAATCATAAAATGTTAAAATTGAACGATTTTTTTTATTAAATTTACTTTTACGTTACTTCTTAAACTGGCTGTGGAAAGTGTTTTTGATTATAAATATTCATAATGTATCAAGAAATTATAATCCATACTTATTTTATATTTATCTATCACCAGTTTCTAGTGATGTGGCATAAATCATAAAATGTCAAAATTGGACGTTTTTTCTTAATAAAATTAACTGTAATGTAAGTACTAAAACAGATGTGGAAAGAGGTTATGAATAATAAATATTCATAATGCATCAAGAAATCATAATCCACACTTATTTCATATTTATCTATCATCAGTTTCTAGTGATATAGCATAAATCACAAGATGTCAAAATTGGATTTCTTCTCTTTACAAAATCAACTTAACGTAAATACTAAAACTGATAAAGATGTTATGAATAAAAAATAATTACAATGCATCATGAAAGTATAACCCATACATATTTCATAGTCATGTGTTACTAGTTTCTAGTGATATAGCATAAATCACAAAATGTCGATGTCACTTAATAAAATCAACTACAACACAAGTACAACTAAAACTAATGCAGAAAGACGTTACGAATAAAAAAACATTCATAATACATCAAGAAATCATAATCCACACTTATTTCATATTTATCTATCACCAGTTTCTATTGATATAGCATAAATCATAAAATGTCAAAATTGAACGATTTTTCTTAATAAAATCAACTATAACAGAAGTACTAAAACTGATGGAGAAAGAAGTTATGAATAAAAAATGTTCCTAATGCATCAAGAAATCATAATCCACACTTATTGTATATTTATCTATCACCAGTTTCTAGTGAACTCTCTGGCAGCCGAATCGAATAACTAGTGTATTGTTGTTTTTCCTTTTTTTCGATACTTAAAATTATCATTTTGTATTTTTGCATTTATGTATCTGTACACTTATCCACCTACTTTTATGACACTGTGACTGAGTAGATAAATGAAATAAATAAATTAATTGAAATAAATTAATAGATGCCGATGTGAACTTGTGGCTTGTTAGATATATTTATATTTTTGTAAACCATAGATGTAGAAACGTATATGACTTGTCTCCACCTACTATTGTAGCAGTGAGATTAATTTAATAAATATTAAATGTGAGATACAGCATAAATCACAAAATATCAAAATTGCACGTCTTCTTAATAAAATCAACTATAACAGAAGTACTAAAACTGTTGGAGAAAGAAGTTATGAATAAAAAATGTTCCTAATGCATCAAGAAATCGTAATCCACGCATATTTCGCTTGTATCTATCACCAGTTTCTAGTGATATAGCATAAATCACAAAATGTCAAAATTGGACGTTTCTTCTTAATAAAATCAACTATAATACAAGTACTAAAACTGATGGAGAAAAAAAATGGATAGAGATGGATAAAGAATTCTGATAGTATGGATTATACTTATTTCATATTTATCTATCACCAATTTCTAATGATTTAGCATAAATCAAAAAATGTCAAAATTAGACGATTTGTGTTAACAAAATCAATTGTTGATTTGTGCAGAATAGCAATGGAAATCCGATTGATGGCGATATATGTGTCCTTATCCATGAACATATCTCTAAATTTGAAGTAAGAGAAACACATTATTGTTCTAGGAAAAACCAATACTTGGAGGCACAACTAAATATCTCAAAAATGTATGAAATGTTCCAAACCGACCATCCTGAATTGAGAGATAAAGTAAAATATAGTTTTTATTATAGTTACTTTAAAGGAAACTTCAATCTAACATTCAGACGGCCACAAGCTGTTGTTTGCAGCCAATGTGAGAATTTCAAATCCAAACTATGTAAAGCGCAGCGTTGTAGCTGAACAAATCGTTCGCAAGCGCAGAGCCAAGAAGTTTTATACGAAACAAACGGAGATGATTAACAACACTGATGAAAATACACTGGTGCTTTGTTTTGACTTTATGTAAAATTTACCACTACCAAACATACCTGCACAGGCGATATTTTACATGCGTCAGCTTTGGCTTAATGTATTTTGTATTCATGACATGAAGACCAACAAGGCAAAAATGTATATATATCACGAAGGCTAGGCCAATAAGTCCCCACATTAGATTATTACACTATTTGAAAACTGAAGTTCCTAGTCGAACTAAACATGTTGTTCTCTTCAGATCAAAAATCATTGTATTGTGCGATTTCTAATGAATCTTTTTGATAGGGGAACTTTTAAGATTGCTCGTCACTACTTTCCAGTCAAGGGACCTTCATTTTTACCCTGTGATCATGATTTTGGGTGTATTAAATGTCTTGTTCGAAGAGTAGACAGAGTTTACACACCAAGTCAGAATGCTGAGATGATTCTTAAATCAAGTAAAACGGGGTGCTTTACTGTTCACCAAGTAACAACCGAGATGATCTATAGTTTTAATGCTTGGTGGTCTCAGTTTTACAAGAGGATTGTAAACTCAGATGAAACTTCTTGAAGGGGAATTCACAAGAAAGACAAGATTCCTTTTAAAGTGTCCATATACAAAGAATTTTATTACAACAAAACTGACCAAGGAAAAGTGGTTGCTAAGCAGTTTATCGGCGGTTTTAGCTTGTCAATGTTCACACTGAAAAAGCATAGTACTGTTTTGGTGCTCCCTACAGTGCTGGCATGTCCATCTGGAAAGACGGCTAAAAAGGAAACTTTCTACTTCTAGGTCTAGTGTTAGTACTAGTTTTAGTTCAATGAAAAATATACAACAATCAAGCGCTGAATAACAATTACAACTAAAACTACCGTTCTTGATTTATGCATCGGGGAATATCCCAAGTTTATCTATGAACATGGAATAAAACAACTTGAGGAATAACCCGAGTTGGACTCTATCTATGAGAGCTAACATTTATATTTAAATATACTGATGTATTAAATAGATAATATTAATAGTTGACTTAAAAATGTTTTGTCCGTAATATCCGAAGTCCGTTATAAAGAGGTTTTACTATATATAATTTTTCAAGTTTAA